GTTTAGTGAAACAGCTATTGCTATTGCTGGTAGTTTCAAAAAATTTTACTTTATCCATTGATATCTTCTTCCGCCAGATAATTTTGATAGGGTTGAAATTAGCATAAAAAGTTCTATCGAGCCACATTTTTTGGTTTTTGCTTAGCTAGATTTCTGATAGTCTAAGCTTATGTGCACGGAGCGACCTGGGACTATTTCTGCTTAAATACTGCAGTACGGGAGCAGGCTAAAGCTGAGATTAGTTAAGAACATAAAGCTACCGGTACATAAACCCGAGTCAGCTGACTACGATCTGTCTTACCAGAGCGCCATGTAAATGAAAACTCAACACCGCAGAATTTTTCTGTAGTTGTAGCCCGTAGCGCAGAAATCTGAGGAATTTAGATTTTTCCGTGTCAGCTGATTTTTTCCTTCTATAGATGGTTGCCACATCGTCAGTTTTGCACATGGTAAAAAAGTTATAATTTCCTATTCAAATTACGTTTAAGATATTTGAAATTTACTATTGAATAAGGTTTTTTGTTGAAAACTAAGTAGTTTGTATTTAGCTACAGATCTATTATAACACGAAAAATTGTAGTTGAAAAGGTAAGTTTATGAAAAGGCATCGAAGAGTGGCAACACTGTAGTAAGCGACACTGAGGGCTCCAGTAATCGACAAAATTCTGCGTATACAGACTGCGTTTAAGTATTTCAGCATGCTACTGTGGCTGCTTTCGTCACTCGCGCGCACTGCCGTGCGCTGTGATACGTTCTGCGTTCTTGACTAATTTCAACTTAACTGTCGGCAAGTTGATTTCAGGTTTGGATTATCAAAGACACAAACCAAATTCAGTAAAAAAAAGGGTTGCATTCCTATAAACTCCAAATAAAAGTGGTGTTTAAGGAGAGTTTAGCGAAAATTGTTTCTATGGTAAACTTCGAGCTTAAGAGTGGAGTTTAGCATTAAACTCCAAAATGGTCCATAAACTCGAGTTAATGGCTCAACGTAAACATAGTATAAGACATCAAAGTACCGACAAGTATGACTCAAACTTTCAGAAAACGCAGCAAATATTTTCTGAGCTGATGCAAATCGTATATCGTCATCCGAGTGGAAGATCGACCTATCTCGGCAGCCAGTTAAAAAAATGCCCTATGTCAGAAAACTTTTCAATAACGCCCTACTTCAAAATTTGGTTGAAGAACGCCCTATCTCAGAATTTGGTTGAAGAACGCCCTATCTCTGAATTTGGTTCGAAAACGCCCTATCTCAGCTGAAAATATATTAAAAATATGTTGAGATAGGCGTTTTTAGAACAGGTTAAAGATCGTTACCGAGGTTATCAACTCCGTTATATGCAGTTAGTGTTAACCAAACATTGAGAAACTGGCCCTTAAACTACCAGCCAAACAAGAGGAGTCCTATCAATTTTGATATGAAAAGCGCAAAACCGGCAACACTGAATGGAATGAAAAGTTAACTAAGAGCATGTAAACGAAAAAGCTATACATACGCAGAAAGCACTCAAATGAGCTTTTTTAATTAATGAATCACAAATGAGTAATTTTGATATGTATGTATGTATGTACTACACTATACATATTTACATATACTCGCAAACATAAATAAATATACATCAATATACCATTCGCCATTATCACGCAAATTATGGCATATGAAAAAATTTATGAAGGCCATGAAAAGTCATTAATAAAAGTTGGAAGGTGTCATTAGACGGCCTAATGAAGTAATTAGAAGATAGCGTAAAAATCAATGCAGATACATATCGCACACGATCTTCAAAAGTGACACAACTCAAAATTACACGTTTGTCAGATAAAGCGAAAAACTATTTCTTACGACATGATAATCATATGGCAAGGAAGACCCTACTTTAGATTTTTTCAACAATTTATAACAAATATTCGCTTCAGCTTTTACTGAAGAGCAAATAAAAGCTCTGCGCACATTTTAAGCGCATAATTTCAAAAATGCCAAATTTTGAATTGTGTCACTTTTGATGATCGTGTGCGATATTTACACGTACTTATTTACAGAAGCAAACATGTGTGTATATGGTTTCACTCAAACGTTTGTTAAAGCATAAATCTGTGCAATATTAAGATTGCTTGCCTTTAGAATTTTTTGGTCACATTTTATCGGTAAACATATTTGGTGAAGTGAATAGTGGCGGAAATACATACATACATATCGAACACGATCTTCAAAGGTGACACAACTCTAAATTACACGTTCGTCAAAAGATGCAGAAAACTATTTCGCAGCACATGCTAATTATATGGGCAGGGGTTTAGGTTTTTTCAACAATTTATAACACAAAAGTTTGCTCCAGCTTTTGCTGAAAGGCAGATCAATAAAAGCTCTGTGTACGTTTTTAGTACATAATTCCAAAAATTCCAAATTTTGAACCGAAAAAACTATCACTTCTACCTCCGATGTTTGTAAGTTTATTTAACTTCCCCCAATATCAATTAAAACATCTTTACATTTATTAAATAGCCTCTTCATTTATTAATTGCTTGCTTTATTTAATTTAAGAAGTATTCAGAAAACTTACGTAAGTCAAACCTTAAGAGTTTTGAAAGCTACATGCAAGGAAAAAATTGCTGAAGCTTTCTGGGCAATTAAGGTTTTCGAACTTAAGAATTCTGAGTGTCCACTGTATTAGGTTTTGGAGTTCTCAACTGTTAATTATTCATAAAATATCTAATGTTACTATCCACGAAAATATCGCATATCACATACATACGTACACTCCAAGTAGGGTGATTGACGCGGTTTTTTCACAACCTAAACATATGTAACATATCTATGTAATTTCAGAAGTTTTAATTTTGAGGGTGAAATAACTTAACTTTTTTTTTAATTTTTTTATTTTTATTAAACTTTAGTCGAAAAGACACCAACTATAGGTATTGTCTGTTAAATCATTAAGCGATTTAAATCGAAAATGGCCAAACTCGACTTAAATTGTTCTTTAAAATATTTACAGATATGGACGCAAGCTTTTAACTGAACCGATTTCTTTGAATACACATTTGCCTTAACATTTAAAAATTGATCGCCACCAAAATGAATCATTCCTTATCATTAGGTTCTAATTTTGTAGTACGACTGTAGAAAACTATGCTGATATTGTAATGCTGTTTTTCATTAATTATGATTTTTGCACAGAATGTCTGATAATGACCAAACAAAATATTTCTAATTAAAACCTTAAAAAAAAAAAAAACAGTTGCAAATATGAGTAAGAAAGTAGGGCTATTGGAGACTAGATAATGTGTGAGGCAAAAAATAAAATAATATTTTGGATAACATGCATAGAAGGTTGCATCAGCTTTAAGTATTTACTTAGAATAAACAAAGCAAAGCATCGCTTCCTTACTGGCCGTCTCCACAGGATAATGTTTATATCTTGATACATATCCCACAAGATCTTCAAAAGCGATACAACTCAAAATTTGGCGTTTTTTAAATTATGCACTAAAAAGTGCTCAGTGCCTTTTTTACCTTTTAGCGAAAGCTGGAGCAAGTTCTTGTCGTAATTTGTTGAAATAACCTTGGGTAAAGTCTTCGTTGTCCATATGATTGGCATGTGCTAGGAAATAGTTTTTCGCAGTTTCGGACAACGTCTAATTTTGAGTTGTGTCACTTTTGAAGATCGTGTGCGATATTTCCGAATATAATTTGCCCCTTGGAGACCGCTCATTGCTCTCCAAGAGTAATTTGTATCAGAGCTTACAATGGCAATCAAAAGTGAGTGCATGGAGTTTTTTCCTTAATATTTGCAATACTTTTCAAGTTCAAATTTTATTGTTATTTTTTTATAAAAATATGGTTCATGCTTTAATTAAAACCACATAAGTCAAACTTTCAAACTTTATACAGAACTTACTAATTTTTCTAATTTTTGCTTGAAAAACACTGCAAATATTAAACAAAACAAAACTTTTTTTTTGTAAGCGTAAAAACTACGGTATATGCGACAACATCGAAACTTGCACCAAGCGCGGTTTTCATTGCGTGCAAGAATCGAGTTTCTACTGTAGTTGATGTAGTGACCTTCGTTTTATCATTCCATCTGTGTAGATATATATGTAGATATCTTTATCATACCTTTTTATCTTTTTGTTTGATTTTTGTAAACATCTCGACATTCTCCAAGATTGCCTCCTCTTATCTCAGCCAAAGATGTAATTAGGCAACATGTGTAAAATTAACTTACAAATTACTAGACGAAAAAGATTCGAGGGAATAGTTTCGTAATTTTGACAAGGTCGAAGTTATTAACGAAATAAATCAAATCAAATACACCAACTAGTCTTCGTTTCCATCTGCTTCAAAAAAGCTGACAAGGACTCAAAGGGTAGAACGGCTTTTAAGCCTGGGAAAAAGTACTAAAAGCCTCTTCAAAGTTTACACCCCGAGTTTCATGAATTTCACTTATATTGGGTTTATTTTCAGCTTTAGCAATTAAGAAGTTAGGTCCTCGTTCTCCTCTAAATAGCTAGTACAGAAGAAGTTCTTGGAAATTAGCCGCAGTCTGACAACAGAGATTTCCCCCAAGAATCGAGATTTGTTATTTCCTAGACCTTTAAATACCATCTGCATATAAAATTCTATATATTAATATTTTCCACGGGTGTACGCTAGACTGACTTCTAACCTATTTGCCTGAGAGTATGGCCAAAGTGGACAAAGTAACCCCTACAAAATTTTTGATCTAAGTATAAGAAACCATAATTTTGCGTTCCAGCGAGGATCTTACCATTCTAAATACGAGATAAATCAACAATTTCTTGTAGTTTCAAGAACAGGCTTTACAAATGTGGTAGTTGGAAAGCTTTGAAAAATGAAAGCTTTGGCGAAAGCTCTGAACAAATTTCGATTAATGTAATTTTTCAAAAAAATGTAAGTCGAATTCACTACTTTCTCGCCACATATGTATGCAGGCCTATAAATCAGATCCGCAATAATTACCGAAACACACTTTTACAACTTTTGTCTTTTATTTTGTTTTAAGTAAGTACCAAAGTCATTCCCACGTCCATGCACTTTTTTACAATAATACACTTCTTCTTTTACTTAATGCAAATTAAAGTTAGTTTTCAATAAATATATCTACGTTTTAACTTCATTTATAGAATTAACTATAATATATAATTGAATATATACATAAGTATATATGTATATATATCTAATTACAATAAAACAATTATTCGATTTACATGGAGGTACACGTGACATTGCGTAACAGCATTCAATGAAAGCTACATATGCACTTAAGCCGACGAAACTTAGTTACTAAAGTTGATTGTGTTTTTTATAAAACTTTAATTGCAATAAATTAAAAATATTTAATAATAATAAAATCGTTTGCCATTAATAAAATAAAAGCTGCACACTTGAAAGCTTACACGCCGCGACTAAAAAAAGTTTTAAAGCCTCTCAAATATTACCAAAAAAAAAACTTAATAGCTAAATCTTCGTTTACGATTTTGGTAGTGAATTGCCAGTATGACGGTCAAAAGCAGAATAAGAAACTGTAAATATTACAAATACAAAAATATGTATAAGTTGATTAAAACTAAAATTCTAACATCACAAAAGCTTTCGCACTCACATCAAAGCCCAATAGACCATATTCATAGTAGGTGGTTAAGATTGCCTCATCAACGAAAGCTTCCTCCACTTTCGGCAGACAACCAGTTAGATGGAGATTCAAAGGATTGATGCAGTTGCCATCGTTGCAACAGCTTGCCGGTGGTGCGCGCGCAATGCGTATGTAGTCTTCAGCTGAGTTGAGACCACAACAGGCGTACTTTTGAGTGCGAAGCAAAAAACATTACAATGTAATTTCCAATTCTGTATTTAATTTGACTCAAAATACAATACTTAATCAACACTTACCACCATCTGTACGGTGTCCATGGAGCCCGGCTGCATCAACTCCTTACGCCATTGCGCCTCTACACCCTCCATAGCGTAACGTTTGAAGACATCACGCGAACTCAGGCAAATGAAAACAACAATGAGGACAAGTAGTACAAGCAGACAAATAGCATACTGAAAAAAAGAGGAATTTGAAAATTAATTTTATTTTTCTTTTCAGAAAATTATTTTAAATAAAATTAGTCACCGTCCATAGTAGCCGCGTCGATTCGCGTATTGTGCCAAAGCAGCCGAAAAAGGATATAAGCAAAATGACACCACCCAAACAAATTATGCCGACGGCATAACTCTGTGGCATTGCACCCCAACCGAGGCCACCTAAAAGTATCACCAAGATACCCAGGATCTGGAAATAGTAAAAATTTTTTTGATTAATTTTGAATTTGATTTCATTAGCACGTTTAAAACAAGGATCATAATGAAGGTATGATTTCATACAGACATAGTCAACTGTCTTCGCTATTCAATAATTCTTTCAGAAAAAATTTTGTAGAGGAAACATTGGAGCAGATCTTGCATATAGACATAGGTATGTGTATTATGGCAATGTAATATTCACAAGTTGAAATAAATCAATCATAAAATTTAAAACAAAACCAAAAATAATTGAAAATAATCAAATAATTATATTAATATGCAACTAAAAAAAATCAAAAATAATTTAAAATAATTAAATAATTATATTAACCATTTATGTAATTAAAAACATCAAAAATAATTCAAAGTAATCAAAAAATAATAAATTAGTCATTTAATAAAAATTATTTTTTTTTTTTGAAGGTAATTAATTATTACTTATTAAAAAGATGCAAATAATGGCCCAAAAAAAACATGCTTTAATTATTAGTCATTGTGATTATTAATCATTATCTAACAGGTCTGCTTTGAATACACCCAAACTTATTTAGCAAAGTGTTATTTCTTTTGTATTCACAAAGCACTCTCAGCATCTTAAATAGTTAATAGGCCTTTGGCTTTGATGCTTGATGTATAGAATTATTCATAATTAGATTCCTAGTAAAATAGATGATGTGACAGCTTTCTATAAATTTGAATTCGAATTTTTTTTTGCTAACGTACGAAGTCATTAACTAATGATTCCTGGAAAATTTCAAACAACAAAAGTATGTTTGCGAGTTGCTGGTTGCATGAACTGAAAATACGCCTCCGCATTTGAAACGCGGATTTACATATGTGGGTACATTAGGATGCATCACCGAAAAAATATGTACGTTAAAATATTAAAAAAAAGTTAAGATTCACGTGACTGATAGACTGATTTGAAAATACCTCCCAAACTCGCATTTTTTTGATTCCGCTGATAAAATTTTTAAACATTTTATACAGATCTTTTAAACTTAAATTCTGTTATCGTGTGATTTGATATTTTAGAAAAAATATTTTTAAAAACTAATCTTATTTATAAAAAACTCGATTTTCGGTGGTACATATTTTTAAATAAGTTCAGCTCAAGTAAATTTCAGTATTTTTCCGAAATATTTAGGCGGAAGTCTTAAAATAGTATAATAAATTGTATATTTCCGATGAAAAAACAGTACCGATTTTTTTATCTTGAGTGTTGCACCCTAATGTACAAACAGTGCCGGAAGGTAAACCTACATATGTATATGATTTATATATTAATGAGCGCATGTGGATACAATAGACCGTGTCAGAAAAAAAGTAGCCGTACAACACTGAGTCTAAAGTATTCCTGCAACGCAATTTGGCGAAAAAAAAAAATATTTTTTTGGCCGAACGTAAGGGTCTTCCTTTAAGATTTTACGTCATATCTTCGGCATTTACGCTCGCGTCGTAAAATATGATATATGTATGTACGTACATAGATATAAATTTTTTTCTCGAGGAGACAAAATCTGTCTGCCAAAGTTCATTGATCTCAAATACGCCGTTCTAGTGCTTACCCACCAGATCTCAGTTTTTATCACACTGTACCACTCTAATGTCAGTGAATTAAAGCTCACCAAAAACACCTTCTGCTAAGCAAGTTTTACGAGTATTCCGGTCGATTTTTTTTTATTTTTATTTTTTTTTTGAATGTAATCTAATGTACATACATACATATGTACATATGTACGCATGTTTTCTAAAACTTCTACGCCTGTCTAATTGCCTGCCCATAACTAAGTGTACTCATTACTATGTATTTATGCATAATCAATTATTCAATATCGTCATTGCAATTATCACATTGTCTGCTTACAACTATAACAAATGCCTGACATACGCCCCCAAATAAAGATAACATACATATGTACATACAGCCCTGCTTCAACAACCCCCACACTGTCGCTTGGTATTTTAATTTGGCACATGTAAGCGCAAACTTGGCAATATGTCGCCATTTTTTCTTTTTTGCTATTTTATTTTATTTTTCAAAATATGTACATATAACATCTTTCGTGCACATTACATGTAACTTAATATGAGCTCGGCAGTTAGGCAATAGTCGGACATTGTACAGTCGTGTGCAATCACATTAGTTGCTCGATTAGTCACGTCACTCAGTCAGCCAGTGTATTGTCCAGCCTAAGCGCGCCGCAAACATGCAAACATGCTTGCGTCCAGCTCAAATGTCTTTGGCCAAGCCTCTGCGCTTGCCGTATGTTGCATGAATCAGTGAATCAGCAGCCCTCTGTGGCGTCGTCGAAAATTAATTCACACACGCGCGCGCCACTCACTTCATTGCATGCTTGATTGTCTCATACCGCTGAGATAATCAAGCTTAGCAATGCTCATACT